TTAACCTGATGGAGGAACTACTAGAGCATGGGAGAAATGAGTACTATAACGAGAGCAAACGGGAATCAGTTTGGCAATAAGAGGAGAATGGCTAAGTAGCAAAGAATGACCAGTAAGAAAGAGAAAGAAAAGGTGCCTTAAATTGGCCATTAATCTGCCATCAAGTCAATTCTGACTCTTTGCAACCCCCATTGGGTTTCTGAGGCTGTATACCTTTACAGAAGTAGATCTTCCTTCTACAGAGCAGCTGGTGGGTTGGAACTGCTGACCTACTGGTTAACAGCCAAATGCCTTATGCAGTATACCACCAGAGCTCCTTTTCATTAATCAGCAACAAGAAAAGCCACTAGCATTAGCAGCAATGGGAAAATTACCAGACATTTTATCCAAAGACTTTAATAAAAGGCGAGGGAGGTTTGGGATATTTGAAGACATGCTGACTTTATTATGGCAATTATTGCATATTACTTTTATTCCTCCTTCAAAATTCAAGTGGCCTGGGGATTGTCTACCCACCTTTCTCACAACACTTCAATAATGTGTGGCGATGGTGGTGTTTGGTGCTATCAAGTCGGTACTGCCTCATAGCAAACCTGTGCACAACAGAACGAAACACCAATCCTGCCCTAGCCTCACAATCTTTGAGCTCACTGTTGAGCAGCCACTGTGTCAATATATCTCACTGAGGTTCTTGCCCTTTTTCACTGACCCTACTTTCCAGAAGGCTGGTGGTTCAAACCCACCAGCCACTCCTTGGAAGGAAGGAAGGTTAGGCTATCTACTTCCATAGTGATGTTGTTGTTGTTTGCCGTCGAGTCAGCCCCGACTCATAGCGACCCCTCCTTGGGTTTCCAAGGCAGTATCACTACGGAAGTAGGATTGCCCAACCTTCCTTCCGAGGAGTGGCTGGTGGGTTTGAACCGCCAGCCTTCTGGTTAGCAGTCAAGAAGGGATTGCTGAGTCGGGTCCAATTCGATAGCACATAACAACAACAACAACTACTTAACCAAGTATGATATCCTTCTCCAGGGGATGACAACATGACCAAGCATGTGACATGAAGTCTGGCCATTCTCACTTCTAAGCAGCGTTCCTCCTGTACTTCTTTCAAGACCAATTTGTTTGTTCTTTTGCCAATTGACAGTATTTTCAGTATTCCTCATGAATACCACAATTCCAATGTATGAATTCTCCTTCAGTCTTCCATATTCTTGTCCAGCTTTCACATGCATATGAGACTATTGAAAAACCATGGCTTAGGTCAGATACACCTTTGTGTTCAAAGTGACATCTTTGTTCTTTAACACTTGCAAGAGGTCTTTTGCAGCAGATTTGCCCAGTGGAATACTTCATCTGATCATCTCTGACTGCTGCTTCCATGGATGTTGATTGTGGATCCAAGTAAAATGAAATACCTAGCAACTTCAATCTTTTCTCCATTTATGATGATATTGCTTATTGGCAACTTGTGAGAATTTTTGTTTTCTTTATGTTGGTGTGTAATCCATACAGAAGGCTGTAGTCATTAATCTTCACCAGTAAGTGCTTCAAGTCATCTTCACTTTCAGCAAGCAAAGCTGTGTCATCTGCATCTTGCAGGCTGTTAATGAGTCTTCTTCCAATTCTGATGCCATGTTCTTTTTCATATAGTCCAGCTTCATGGATTATTTGGTCAGCATACAGATTAAATAAATATGATGAAAAGATATACCCCTGTTGCACAACTTTCCTGATTTTAAACCATGCCTGATCCTCTCACTCTCTTTGAATGACTAATTTTAGGTATATATACAGGGTCCTCATGAGCACAATTAAGTGTTCCAGAATTCCCCATTTTTCCCAATGTGATCCATAATTTGTTATGATCCACACAGTGGAATGCCTTTGCACTGTCAATAAAACACAGGTAAATATCATTCCGGTATTTGCTTTCAGCTAAAATCCATCTGACATCAGCAGTTACAATCTTCCTTCCATGTCCTCTTCTGAATCTGGCTTGAGTTTCTGGAAGTTCCCTACCAATATACTGCAGCAACTGCTTTTAAGTTATTTCGAGCAAAATTTTACTTGTGTGTAATATTGATGATATTGTTCAATAATTTCCACATTCTGTTGGATTATCTTTCTTTGGAATGGGCACAAATATGGATCTCTTCCAGTCGGTTGGCCAGGAAGCTGACTTCCAAATTTCTTGGCATTAACAAATGAGTGCTTCCAATGCTCCATCTGTTTTTCAAACATCTCAGTGGGTATTCCATCAATTCCTGGAGCCTTGTTTTTCATCAATTCCTTCAGTGCAGTTTGGACTTCTTCCTTCAGTACCATCAGTTCTTGATCATATGCTGCCTCCTGAAACGGTTGAACATTGACCAACTCTTTTTGGTACAGTGTTTCTGTATTCCTTCCATCTTCTTTTGATGGCTTCCTGCATTGTTCAATATTTTCCCCACAGAACAGAACAGTGTTGCAACTCGAGACTTGAATTTTTACTTCAATTCTTTCAGCTTGAGAAAATGCCGAGCATGTTTTTTCCTTTTGATTTTCTAACTCCGGGTCTTTCTAACTCCAAAAAACACAAACACAACCATTTTTGTGGAGCCGGATCCAACTCATAGCGACCCCTCTTTGGGTTTCTAAGGCAGTATCACTACAGAAGTAGATTGCCCAACCTCCTTCCGAGGAGTGGCTGGGGGGTTTGAACTGCCAGCCTTCTGGTTAGCAGTCAAACCCTTTAGGTGCTATGCCACCCGAGCTCCCATTTCTAACCCCAGGACAGTTCATTGTAATACTTTACTTTGTCCTCCCAAGCCACCCTTTGAAATCTTCTATTTTATCATTTCTTCCATTCACTTTGGCTATTCTCTGTTCAAGAGCAAGTTTCAGAGTCATTTCTGAAACTTTTGGTCTTTTTTTCCCATTTCTGTCTTCCTAATCACCTTTGATTTCTTCATATATGAAGTTCTTGATGTCATCTCACAACTCATCTGGTCTTTGGTCATTGGTTTAGTGTGGCAAATCTATTCTTTAGAGGATCTCTAAATTCAGGTGGGATATACTTGAGATCGTATTTTGGCTCTTGTGAACTTGTTTTAATTTTCTTCAGCTTCACTTTGAACTTGTATATGAACACCTGATGGTCTGTTCCACTGTCAGCTCCTTGCCTTGTTGTGACTGATGATACTGAGCTTCTCCATCACCTCTTTCCACAGATGTAGTCAATTTAGTTCCTGTGTATTCCATCTGGCAAGGTCCATATGTCTAGTCACCATTTATGTTGTTGAAAAAAAAATTTGCTACGAATAAGTCATTTGGTCTACCATGTGATCTTCCATGTTATTTCTATCACCAAGGGCATATTTTCCAACTACCAATGCTTCTTATTTCTCTCCAATTTTCACATTCCAATCACTAATAATTATTAAAACATCTTGATTATGTGTTTGGTCAATTTCAGACTGCAGAAACTGGTTAAAAAAAAAAAAAAAAAAAACTCCATTTTTCCATCTTTGTCTTTCGTGGTTGGTGCATTAATTTGAATAATAGTTGTATTAACTTGTCTTCCTTATTGGTATATGGATATTATCCTGTCCTGACAGCATTGGACTGCAGGATAGATTTTAAATTGTTTTTTTTTTTTTTTGACAATGAATATGATACCATTCCTCTTCTGTCATTGCCAGCATAATAGACCTTAAGATTGTCCAGGTCAAAACAGCCAATGCCAGATCATTTAGCTCACTAATGCCTAGGATAGTGATCTTTATATGTTCCGTTTCATTTTTCACAACTTCCAGTTTTCCTAGATTCATAGTTCATACATTCCTTGTTTCAATTATTAATGAATATTTGCTGCTGCTTCTTCTCATTTGAGTCATGCCACATCAGCAAATGAAGGTCCTGAAAGCTTTACTCCATCCACATCATTAAAGTCGACTCTATTTTGAGGAGGCAGCTCTTCCCTAGACATATTTGGAGTGCCTTCCAACCTGAGGGGCTCATCATCTGGCACTTTATCAGACAATGTTTCACTACTATCCATAAAGTTTTCCAGTACTATCTCAGACAGTGTCTCACTGCTATTCATAAGGTTTTCAGTGGCCAATTTTTTTCAGAAGTGGACTGCCATGTCCTTCTTCCTTCTCTGTCTTATTCTGGAAACTCTGCTGAAAACTATCCATCCTGAGTGACCCTAATGCTATTTGAAATACCGGTGGCATAGCTTCCAACATCACAGCAACACTCAAGCCACTATAGTACGACAAACTTACAGAGGAATGGTGTAGCCTGGGTAAATATGTATTATAATAGAATACCCCTAATACTAGTGGAATGCCCTAAGGTTCTGAAACAGAACTACTGTTATAGATGCTATTGTATTTACTTGGTGACCACAATAAACCAAGAACTGCAACAGACCCACCACAGGACAAATACAGATATAAGACCTACACCTCTGGAGAGGACGTAAGACATGCCATTATCACTATATTTTAGTTTTTAATTTTCTAAAAAACTTGGCAATACTTAGAGAAAACTAATGTAGTATTACCTGGGTCTTTAGATTAGTGTTTAACTCCAAACCCCATAATTGACTTACTGCAAAAAAGACAGTGAAAATTTCTTTTAAATTCCTACTAAAGTTTTGTTTTGAATTACTGTAAAATCTGCACCAAGTCACACAACCTTCCTACTAGGGAAGTGCTCGTGATAGAGTAATTGGATCCCTTCTAAGTAAGGGAATTTTAAAATGTAGATAATCATCTCATACCCTTAGTTTTATTTGCCAATGCAAATGAGTCAGAGGCTTTTCTTCAGACACTGAGTTAATTGTGTAACTCTACAGCAGAAAATGTCATTGGCGAGAACTTGCTGACCTCACAGCTGAAGAAACTATTTAAGAGAAGTGGAAACCAGATGTTTTAGTCACATTTCAACCACTACTCTGAGACTTTATCCTGTACAGCCCCTGACAGGCTGTTAACTGCTCTACAACCGACGCTATGGTCATCTTCATTTACTTACTTGTCTTACTATGCGAAGAGGCTCACGGATGGGGATTCAAGAATGGAATTTTTCACAACTCCATATGGCTTGGTAAGGAATTTCACTCATAATTTTCTTATTGGGAATGATATTTCTTTCAGATCATAAAGAAGGGAATCAAAGCAGTAAATTTTTCTGTTCTGTTCAAAGCTGATGTTTTCCAAGAAAATGCTCATGAAAGGTCTCCATTGCAATGCATATCTTCTTTTTTAAAAAGTGTTCCCACTGTCTAAAATTTAAAAATAGCTTTTTAAAAAAGTTAATTGCTTAGTAGAAAATAGTGGTTAATATTTGTATTCCATGTGAAAATATATTTAAAATTTTTCAAAGCAGAGGTGGGAATGTAGTGGGAGGGTGTTCCTTTGTCAAAAAACAATAAAACTACCAATATACTGTCTTGTTTTTATTTAAGTGCATTTACAGTCAGATCTCAGAATTGTAACAGGTAAATGGGAATATATAAAAATTTTATAATCACTGTTTCATGTGCTTTGACCTATTGAATATACCTTGGTTTTATCAACATCTTGACCATTTTGACAGTTAGCTTGCAATACAGAGAAAAATGAAAATGGTTTATATTTCTGAATGCATTCTTACCACTTGGCATTTCTTTATTTCCCCTTTTATCCATATAAATACTCTTCTAACCCTTTTGTTAGACAAAGAAAGTTTTTGTTTTGTTTCATTAAATGCAATTATGGCATAGGCCAAACTGAAGATAAACAATAGACTAGAAAACGCAAAACAAAGAAAACTCAAAAACATCTCTCATAGTACTTGAAACAATGCTTTAATTCTCATGATACAAACAAATTAATATTGTTCTGTGCCTATTTCTGTGTTTAATACTAGAAAATGTTTGAATTGCTTGAGCAGAAAATTGAGAATTTCTTGCGTAAGGTGAAGAAATAAAGAGAAAGCAAAAATTAACCTGATCTTGGTTTTATGCTTGGTAAGCAGCACACAGTTAGAGAAGAGTTCCCTTTCAGCATGTTCCTCTCTGGTAATAACTGCAGCCATGCGGATTTCATTAAAAAGCCCGATTTATAATGCACAGCTATGCTGCCTTTTTTCAGCTTGAGCCAGTGAACTAGTTTCATGCTGAACAGTGTGATTCATTTGGCCAAGAAAGGTTCTGGGATTTCCTACAGGAATGAGCAAATCTCTTTGTTTATTTTCATTGTACATCATCAAGCTTAGGAAATATATACATATTTGTCAGAAATGGAAAAAATGGCATAATGCTAGTATGAATTAAACCCACATGGATAAACTTTGAAATGCTGTCAAACTCTAAGCAAGTAATTTGGAGTTACTGTAGCTTGTTTTTCTTCTTAAGCGATGTTGTAGATTAAATATATATATATATATACACACACACACACACACGTGTGTGTGTGTGTGTACAAATTCACTGTTGTCGAGTCGATTCATCTCATAGTGACCCTTTCTTGTGTTTCTGAGGCAGTATCCTTATGGAAGGAGATTGCTCAATCTTCCTTCCTATATGTAAGCATGTATGTATGTAGAGAGAGAGAGAGAGAGAGAGAGAGAGCACTCTGGTAATGGAGTGCCTAAGGCATTTGACTGCTAACCAGATGGCTGGCAGTTCAAACCCACCAGCCAGTCCTCGGAAGGACGATTTTATGTATATGTATGAATGTACGTATGTATGTATGTGTATGTGTATATATAGCAGGGCTTTAGAAGTTCTACCAAGAGATACAGAGGAGTAATCCCAATCTTTGTTAATGAAACCAAATTCACTGTCATCAAGTTGATTCTGACTCATAGTGACCCCGTTGGGTTTTCAAGACTGTATATCTTTACATGGAGTGGCTGATGGGTTTGAACAGCCAAGTTTTTGGTTAACAGCCAAACTCTTTAACCACTACACCACCAGATCTCCTTTACCTTTGTTAACACCAAAAAAAAAAAAAAAACTTGCTGCCACCGAGTCGATTCTGGCTTATAGTGACCCCTCCTTAGGTTTCCAAGGTGGTATCTCTACCAAAGTAAATTACCCAGTCTTTCTTCTGAGGAGTTGCTGGTGGGTTTGAACCACTAGCCTTCTGGTTAGCAGTCAAATTGCCTTAGGCACTTCACCACTAGAGCTCCCTCTTTGTTAATGGTATGCTGCAAATCTGAGGCTTGGGATAACTTCAAATTGCTTCAATCTGGAACAAATAATTGGCTAGTCAACCCAGCACAAATGATTTACAGTTGGTTGGATCAATATAATATTAGACACTATTTAGGGGGGAAAGAAAGTGAGATTAGAAGTCAAAAATATGCTAGTAACTCCCAAGAATAAATCACTTTAAACTCTCTAGGTCTTCATTTCCTCACTGGTAAAATGAGAGGGTTAAGTAGAGCATCTCTAAAGTTTATTTTAAATGCAGTATCCTCTAAAGGAGCTCTGGTAGCATAGTGGCTAAGACACTTGCCTGCTAACCAGACAGCTGGCGGTTCAAACCCACCAGCCACTCCTCGGAAGGAAGGTTGGGCAATCCTACTTCCGTAGTGATACTGCCTCGGAAACCCTAGGAGGGGTCACTATGAGTCAGGTTTGACTTGACGGCACATAACAACAACAATCCTCTAAATTCTTAATGTTGTTGTTGTTATGTGCTGTTGAGTGGGACCCAACTCACAGCGACCCCTCCTTGGGTTTCTGAAACAGTATCACTACAGAAGTAGATTGCCCCTTCTTCCTTCCGAGGAGTGGCTGGTGGATTTGAACAGCCAGCCTTCTGGTTAGCAGTCAAGTGCCTTAGGCACTATGCTACCAGAGCTCCTACATTCTTAATAGTAATTTAAAAAAAAAAAAAAAATCTTAAGGACAAGAGATTTCAACTAGTAAAAATTGATTATGAAAATTGAAAATGCTCCAATAAATGATTCTTTTCAGTGAATCTGAAAAAGGAGAGGAGAAATTTTGAAAAGTAATATAAAATATCTGAGTTCCTGTAAGATCCAGAAGTTATGCTTATCAGTTTTAATGTTTTATTTCCAAAAAGAATAATAATACTAAAATAACTATCAATATTTCCATTTGATAGAGGAAGAAACTGAGTGAGACTCAGGCAGTGATTTATTTGTGCGAGGTCATGCAATTCATCCATGGTAGAACCAGGACAAAAAATGTGATCCAACAGGATTCTGTGGCTACTTGCCAAAAGGAAAAAAAGGATTGGTTCAACAGATTTTCCATTTTAATGACTACAGACTCAAAAAATTAATATTCTTTCTTCTGAGTGATAAGGCTTTTAAAATTCGGATTCATTGTAGAAAGGCCCATCTCAATAGTTTAAAATTCTGAATTGAGGGATACTTTAAAATAAATGCCTTATTTAAAATTGTCAAATATATACAAGAGTTCTCAGCTGTTCAAAAGGCAAGACTTGCAAGGTTAATACTCTGACAAACAATGTGGAATATTAATATTATATAGTAAATTAAATTAAATATTATAACATAAATTTAGCTATTTCAGTTGCTATCAAATTATTAGACATTTCAGCAGGTACCAAAAGTTAAAGAAAAATTATTTTAAAATCTGTTAGGTTTTTTTTTTTTTCCTGCAGACATCATACTTCAATTTTAGAATAAATTACTGAGGAAATCATAGTTTGAGAAACTTTGGCACACATTAAAATAATTCCCACAAAACTATTTTTTCAAGGTAAGATCTTTTAAAGCTATTATTCTTACAGAATAGATACAATTTTAATGTTCTTAATAACTAACAACAATCTCTATTACATCATATAAGTATGTAAAGCACATCTTGAGTGGTGCAAACAGTTAACATGCTAGGCTACTAACCAAAACGTTGGCAGTTCAAGCCTACCCAGAGGTTCCTTAAGAAAAAAAACTGGTAATCTTTATTAATACCAATAAAGAACATTAATATTCCACAAAAATCAGCCATTGAAAAGCTTATGGTACCCAGGTCTACTCTGACACACATAGGGTCACAATGAATGGGAATCAATGTGAAGGCAGCTGACTTTAGGTTTCTTTCTCCGTTAAAAGCCCTAGTATTCCTCTCAAAGATACAAGTACTTATGTTGTTCACTAATGTCCAAGTTCCTTGAAGGCAGGACTTGATTAACAGTGCTTGGTAAAAAACTTCATGATACTTTCTCAAAACAACAAAACTAGGAACTATGAAAGTTAATGAGGCTTTAGCACTTTAAGGACACTTGGGTATTAGGTGATTCAAAGGGGGGAAATACCTTGACTGGTTATGATTTGATGTTCTTGGTGTTCCCTGACCCATGAGCCTCAAGTTGACTAAGGTCCTATGCTTATGAGTAATGGACCTTTATCAAATAAGGTATAAGAGCAGGATCCTTTGGATAAACAGGAAAAAGTGCCCAACACCATCCCCCATTAAAATGTGGCAGCATCAGCTTCAGCTTGGGAAGGAAAACAAGGAAATATATACATATATATTTTTTTCTATTGTGATTTGGGTGAAAGTTTACACAGCCAATTCATTTTCTAAGCAGCAGTTAATACACATTTTGTTTCATGACATTAATGGCAATCCCCTTAATATAACACTCTCTTCCCACTTCCTCCCTGTGGGTACCTTTCCGTGTCCCAAATACTGCCCTTCTGATCTTCCATGATTGACTGTTCTAAGGAGTGTACCTAGTGCTCACTTCTGCAGCACATATACTAAAATTGAAACAATACAGAGAAGATTCACGTAGCCCCTCTGCAAAGATGACATGCAAATTTGAGAAGCGTTCCATTAAAAAAAAAAAAAAAAAACATACCTACCTGATGTAAATTGTTCACCTTATATGCCTGTCTATTGTCTGGCTGGAAGCCATGGGAATGAGTTCAATTCCAAGTCCAAAGGGTGACTATGGACCATAGTCTTGGGGATTTCACCAGCCTCTCTCAAATCAGTAATCCTGGTCTTTATGATTTTGAGTTTTGTCCCACATTTTTCTCCCACTCTATCCAGGATCTCCTGCCTTGATCCCTATATTCTTAATATTGCTGGATTCATGTTATGCTGCATGCCAAGGAATGTATCTTCTCATTAGAAATGTCCGTAGGGTAGCTGACTGCACAGGTCAGGATACAAAGATTTAACTATAATCTGGCAGACTACATAAAACTATTAGAGCTAAAATTGCAATTATTGTCCTGGGAATCTTCATACTGTTTCTATGGCAAAAGGCATTCCAAACTCAAAACAATGAATTAAACAGTGATCTACTGGAAGGCAACTCATATATGACTTAACACTGCCTAAAATATGTTGGGAACAACATGTGAACTAAAAAAGACAGATCAGATCAAGAATTTAGGAATTGGTAGTTAGTGTCCAGTTATTTCTCCGCTGTATTTGAATCTATTTTTATTTTCTTCAATGCAGTATTTGTTTGCTTTGGATTTCTTCTTCTCAGTTTTTATTTGTTTACTAAATTCTCAATTATACTGCTTTAGTCATTTCCCTCAAATGGTTATGTTGGTTTATTTTTCTCCATCACTGTGAGTCTACATGATGGATCAATTTTCACTGGTTTCTATTTCTTTCATCTCCTTTTTTTCTCTCTCACTTATCTAGAAAAGTTTTTATATGACTTAAAGCCAAAAGAGAGTGAAGTCTTTATCACCTTTGAATAATATAGAATGACAAAGTTGTATTAAAACTTTTTCTTTCACGCTATCAGTTCAGAAACATAATTCAGCCTCAATTTTCGGTCTATGCCCCCAAATTCCCCTAAAATTCCCCATTCATACTTTTTTCCAAAGCTTTCTAACAATGAAAACGTAGCTCCCCAAGGCGGATGTCCTAGGGAAATTCTTTGGCAGCAACAATAGCTGATGCAATTTTCCAGCTGAGGCCACAAAATTTCCCTCTGTTTTGCAAAAATGGATAATAGTGAGTTCATGATGTTTTATGATTTCACAGAGCAAGCAGCGGGAGTATATCACAGAGAAGCACGGTCTGGCAAATACAGGCTCACCTACTCAGAAGCCAAGGCAGTGTGTGAATACGAAGGTGGGCGCCTTGCCACCTACAAGCAGCTAGAGGCAGCCAGGAAAATTGGTATGTAATTTGACAGTGATTTTTATACTCTCTCAACCTTGGGGGGGCAATAAATCCACCTTTCCTTTAACCCTTTAATAAATTTTTTTCTCCAGCCTCTTCTGATAGTTCTCTAAGCCACATCCATGATACCTTGGCTCTCTTGCTGTTCTGGTTCTCTCTGCATAGAGCTGGTAGAAAGTTCCTAGTAGTAGCAACTTACATAACCCGTAGTGAGCTAAAGAAAGAAAGAAAAGTCATAAGAAAATAAAAACCTCATTATCTCAGCATCATTTAATTTCTTTATTAATTTAAAAATCATTGCTATTCATTTTCAACATGGTTCTTCCTCTTCTTGATTCTGAGTATGAATTATACAGTTATGTTGAGTCTTACAAGAAAATTTACTGAATAGGAGAAGTATTGAATTTATTGGCTTTCTTTTTTCCATTAAAAAAAATTAAAAAGCAAAATGTATTTGTATGTTATGAACAAAAGCTATGAGGAAAAGGAGGATAAGCAGTTTGTAAGATGGCAGGAAAAAGAAACTGGGAAGGTGATGTCAGGAGACCTGGTGAAAAATCCAGTAATTAACTGGTGCTATTTGCTTCTTTGGGATCCCTGGGTGGTACAAACAACACCTCAACTGCTAACCAAAAGTCCACCCAGAGGTGCCTTGGGATAAAGGCCTGGCAATCTACTTCTGAAAAATAATCAGCCTTTGAGAACTCTATGGAGTACAGTTCTACTCTGACATACAGGAGGTTGTCATGAACCAGAGTTGGCTCAACAGTAACTGGTAGTAATACCCCTTCCTGGACTTTTAAGAGAACCCCTATGGCCACCCCCATAAGAAATTCTCTTCTCTACTGAAGAAATACTTTTGCTGACAGGAAAGTACCAGGCAAGGCTTATGCTATTATTATATATTATTCAACACAGAACTAAAGGTGTTCAAAAAATACTGTTCTACATTCTACTTTGGTGAGTAGCAACTGGGGTATTAAAAGTTTACAAGCAGCCATTTAGATATAACAATGGATCTCTCCTCATCCAGTACAAAGAAGAATGAAGAAAACCAAAAGTGCATAGAAAAACAATTAGTCCAAGAGACTAGTGGACCATGTGAACCTCAGCCTATATGACCATGAGACCAGAAGAACTAGATGGTGCCCAGCTACCACTGTCAACCACTAGGAAAGGAATCAGTACAGGAGATCCTGGAGAGATTGAGAGAACAATGTGGAACAAAACTCAAGTTCATAAAAAAGACCAGGTTTCCTGGTCTGGTAGAAGCTGATGAGACCCCTGAGACCATGGCCCCTAGATACCTTTCAGGTCCAGAACTGAATTTACTCCTGTGGCTTCCAGCCAAACAACAGACAGGCATATAGGGTGAATATTTACATCAAGTACATACACTCCTTAGAACAATCAATCATGGGAGAACAGAAAGGTAGTATTTGCACAGGGAGATAGTTCAGGGGACAGGAATGTATAGCAAAGAAGGACACAGGGATGAAGTGGGAAGAGAACTGCTACATTGTGGGAACTGAAGTCAATGTCATGAAACAAAATGTGTATGAACTGCTGTATGGAAAATGAATTTGCTCTGTAAACTGTCACCCAAATCACAATAAAAATTTTTAAAAGAAAAAAACTTAAGGTGTTCTCTGAAATGCTGTGAAGCCCCCCAACCTGCTGAGATGACTGCACTTAGTATAAACTCAAAGGCATCTGTAAGGTGCAGGAATTAGAATGATGAATACCCAAGTCACACATCCTGGACTGCTAGTAAATCACCCCAGGATGGTTTGTTTTCATATACACAATTTCTAGTCCATCTGCATCTTTTTTTTTTCAGGATGCAATTTTCTAGTAAAAGTCAAATGTGATATTTTATATATGAACAATATATACCTATATTTACAGCATGCCCTTTTTTTTTTTTTTTTTTTTTAAAGAGAACATTTGTTGTCCTCCTATGTAAAATGAGTTTGGGCAGTTGATGAACTATCATTGTTGAAAAGGGTCATGTTTGTTAAAATGACCTTTCCTCAGCTGAGTTTACAAGTTAATCCTATAGGCCTTTCTTCCCTCCGCAGGATTTCATGTGTGTGCTGCTGGATGGATGGCCAAGGGCAGAGTTGGATATCCTATCGTGAAGCCAGGGCCCAACTGTGGATTTGGAAAAACTGGTATTATTGATTATGGAGTCCGTCTTAATAGGAGCGAAAGATGGGATGCCTATTGCTACAATCCTCATGGTATGTTTAAAGAATTATTTTATAAGTTTTGTAAGAATATTTACATGCTACTAAGAAGTCTTTTTAAAAAGGAAATGGTATTTTCCTCCAAATATAATTCATTTTGGCAATGATAATTATTAATAATAACTATATTTATAAAAAGGAGCTTTGGTGGTGTGGTGGTTAAGGCATTTAGCTGTTAACTAAAAAAGGTCAATGGTTCAAACCCACCAGATGCTCCACAGAAGAAAGACGAGGCAGTCTGCCTCCGTAAAGATTTACAGCATTGGAAACCCAGTGGGGGTCACTATGAGTTGGAATCAACTCAGTGGCAATGTGGTTGGTTTGGTTTGTATTTATAAAGTGTCCGCCAGACATTGAGATGTATTTCTTCATCTACACTATGACTTAATCCCCACAACTCTACAAAGTGCTATTATACTCATTTTATAAACCAGGACATTGAGACTTAAAGAGGTCCAGTAATTTACCCAAAATCAGATGGCCAAAAATTAGTGGGCAGGGGAGATTGAGAACTCAGGTCTTTTCTGTGCCAGGGAAACTTCCTGGCCACAAAGTCAGAAAAAAACAACCCCCCCCAAAAAAAAAATAGGTTATAAAATAGCCATAGCTAATTAGCTTTAACAATGAAGTGATGTTATCGTATGCCAACTTTCAAAATTATCCCTTTGAAAGAATCACAAAAAGAAGACAGAATAAAATTCTGTCCTTGATTTCTTTTTTTGCATAAATGCTTAGACTTCCAAACTAAGTACTACTAAGTAAGTAACTTATTATTATTCTGTGGTTTGTTGAAACAATTATATGCTAGCTTTCATTATAGTATATTTGTATTCATATTTTTTCTTATGGTTGCGTGCAGATAGGGAATTTTAAGGAGAAAATTAACATACTGTAATTACCATCAAAAGTTATTCTTTCTTCAAGTTTTTGGAGGAAAAAAGTAGATTAAGTTCTTCATGAATATATTTCTTCCAGGACAATGTTACAAAATGGTGTAAGGTGTTAGACAATCCTTAAGGTATTTCTGAAAAGGTAAGGTCCCATTTGGCTCTACCCTGTAACAAATTCTGTAAATCTCTGATCCAAATGAGATCCTATCTTATAGTCTTGTAGGAGATGTATAGTGAAATTCTAGCACATTGTAGAGATTATTATTTAATAATATTAATCATTGAAGAACAGCTTTTCATATCCATAACTAACCTATGGAATTTTGCCTAGAACTGTCACCTAGTTTCGATTCCAACAAATGTGGATAAATGCTTACAATGCATCATAACTCGCAACCCAGTCTGACATATTTTCAGCATATTTAGTCCAGTACCTTATTATTAGTAAAACATATACATCCTCTCCTCCTTCTCTTTTGGTCTTGCTTCCTTTTTCTTTAATATACCTATACAGGCAATATTCTTTTTACTCTCAAGAGTAACTTTTATTTCCAATTACATTCTCTGATTCTTCTTTTGCTTGATAAACTTTAGGTACTCGAGCTCTGGTTCTCACCATTTCCACAGGTTAAAGACTAGGGAGATGGAGAAGTGCTGATGGAAGCATTCTTACAATATTTCATTGCCCTGTTACAAGAATGCCATCTTAACTTACCATTTTTATACGCTACTTTTCTTTTCTCAGGGAGGCTGAATATTTTTTACTCTGAGAGTATTTACAGAATCCTGGGAGACTGGCCTTTCCCCAATTCAAATGTATTTAGCTTGCTTTTGAATTTAGTGGTATGCTGATTGTTTAGGATGTGGTTAACCTAAAGGAGACAGGGGACTGCCTGAACTAGCATTAGGATAATAGTTCACTGAAAAACAATTGGAATGAAAAACTTATAACAGTGTCAAAAATAAAATAAAAATAAAGCAACTTATTAATCAATATCACCAAGTTGGAGCTGACTGAAGAAAGAATAGGGTCATGAAATATTTTGGAAGCAAACTTGCTCATTTCAGCTTCTGAATGTATTAAATGATGTTGACGGTCTTTATATAAGAATACTTTCAATCATTTAACAGTTCTCAGAGACCCAGTGAGCTCTGTGAATCTGTCATTTTCTAAATAAGCAATAGAGGGAATATATTATATGTACTATAAAGTACAGAGCTGAATAGGTATAGCTGAGTAGGCAACTATGAAATATACAACAAAGATAGGTGGCTATGGGACAGAGCAAATCACTCCAAAACCACACTGTATGCATTTATGTACACATGTAAGCTATATATTGTATATTTAATTATGCAATATGAATAGCCTACATTTGCATAAACTCTTAAGTTTATCTTGTATATTTTATCCTCAGACTAGTCTTGTGAGGTAGGTAATAGCAGAAGCATGATTATTTTTATTTTAACAAGGAAGAAATTGAGGTAGAAAGTGGCCACAGAGCTCAGACTTGGTCCCTGATCTTTTTCTTTCTCCATTTTCTGTCTTGGGGAGGTAATTCCTTAACTTCCATGGCATTAAGAGTTCTAGTACAATTTTTTTTAAAAGAGCTATTTTAAAATAGGTTATTGCTGGGAAAAGTCTGTAACTGATATAAAGAAAAATATTTTCAGAAGTTTCATCATGCCCACCACCACCACACAGGTTATTTGTGGTGCAAACGGTTAAGTGCTTGACTACTAGCCAAAAGGTTAGCACTTGGAACACCCAGAGGCACCTCAGAAGACAGGCCTGGTGATCTGTTTCTGAAAGTTCACGGCCTTGAAAACCTTATGGAGCACATCTACTCTGCACACATGGGATCACCAGGAGTCTTGACTGACTTAATGGCAAACAACAACCACAACCCTTTTTCTAGACACTATTCACTTACGAGATGGGAAAAGGGCGCGAAGGGGGCATTTTCCTCTGACCTCCTCTAACTTCACAAGGAGGAGAGAGAATGATCAATACCAACAGCCCAAAGCTGATTCCTATGAGGTCAGACATGCAGCCACCCTCTAACCTTTTTACCAATTTTTACACTAAGTCATCCCTCCCACTGCACTCTCTACTTCTTTGCTGGGTTTGATAACTCATTGCAGTGGCCACACAGAACTCACAGACAATACTCATGATCATGGAGTTTATTAGGGGAATAACAGGTTAAAATTCAGGTTCAGGAATGCTTAGGATACAATTCTTCAATCAGGGCAGCCTCCCCTCTGCTATGCCCTCAGGCACACCTCTCTGGCCCTTGGCCTCTTGGCCTGCCTCTACCCTTCTTGAGTAAATTACAAAGCTCTTTTATCTCTGCCAATAGGGGCACCTAGATGCACCCCACTCCAGAAGCAAGCCTACTGCCTAAAGGCACTCAGGTTTCTCACTCCATGGGCTGGTGACCCCACAAATTTATCTTATGCCTCTTGGTTCTGCTACCACCATCTCTCTGCTGGTCATCTTACAGGTTGTCTCAGGTCATCTCTGCCAAGGAGATCGAGGGCAAAAATCTTGGGTCTAAGGACATGTTTCATTCCATCTCCGGCTCTTTTCTCTTGACGGCAATAAGATCCCCCCCTTCTGCCTCTAGGAGATCTCATTTTAAGCCTTGTGAGATGATAAAACTGACCAATCCTTACATTAGGGTTCCATACACCTTATTTGCATGGTCCCACCCCCACAAGAGTGCCACGTACCTTATTTACATTGTGTTTGTTGTTGTTTACATTACTAACCAGCTATACAATCCCCTTGGTAAACCACAAGCACTTTGTATTTGCATAGTGCCACCCAGTAATCTGGTAGGTGGCACAAAGACCATAGCTAGGAGAGCCATACCAAGTAACTCACTGCACCATACATACCTGATGTGGAATGAAAATTGACCAGAGCCCTTTCACATCTTTCCCTCTAGGTCATATTTACAAACTACTAGTTCTGGCAACAGTTCATGCACCTTTTGTTTCATGACATTGATTGCAGTACCCATAATGTAACACCTCTTATTCCACTTCCTCCTTGTGGTTAACTTTTTCTGTGTCCCTCTTTCCTATGCATTCTTGCCTTCTGAGCTATCTCACTGTGCAAATACTGCCCGTCTGATCTCCCGTAGTTGATTGTTCTGAGGAGTGTACCTACCTGGCATAAATGTTTACCATATATGCCTGTCTATTCTTTAGCTGGAAACCATGGAGTGATTTCAATTCCAGGCCTGAAGGGTGACGAGGGACCATAGTCTCAGAGGTTTTACCAGTCTCTATCAGACCAGTAAGCCTAGTCTTTTTTACCATGACAGTTACAACTTGACTGATATATATATATATATATATATTTATTTTTTGCATAAATGCTTAGACTTCCATACTAAGTACTACTAAGTAAGTAACTTATTATTAT